ATCTATCTATCTATCTATCTATCTATCTATCTATCTATCTATCTATCATCAATTACCTATCCATCCATCTCTCATATTTTCCCCAGGTCAGCATAATTTTTGCATATTATGATATTTTAAGTATTTTGCCTATTTTGACAATACATCAGCATCACCCATTAACCGCTTTCTTTCCTCTTCTCTCTTGCTAGAGACTTCTACTCCTTCCTATACTGCTTTGTCAGCAGCCAACCATGTTGAAGGAGTTGTGCAATTATTAATCATCCTATTGTTCTCTTCCCCCCCCAGGGTGCTCGTTGGGGCCCCATTCGAAACAGGCCGGGTGAATGAAATGGGCAAACTCTACCAGTGCACCTACCCTTTGGGTGACTGTAAAGAGATTAGCATCCGAAGTAGGTTTGAAGAGTCTTTCAACTTCCCAGCTGGATAGTTGCATTCAAAGGAAAGAATGGGGCTGGGAATTCCAATTCTGGCCCTTTGCAAGGATTGGAGAAGAATCTGGCCACAGAGGAACATGTCTGGGTATCTTTCAGAGGAAAGAAATTCCATTTTCAAGGAAACTTAGAAGAACAGAGGGTGAGATCAAAGGATAGCAAGATATGATCAGTTGCTGAACCTAGTTACAGCAAAGTCTTTAAGCTATACAAAATTATGGATCGAAATAAATTATTCAGAGTCCTTCCTGTATTTTTTAAAATTGTACACCTGCAGATGGATTTATGCTGGAGAAGCACCAGGTACATTGGATAATGGTATCATCTTCATCCCTGTATATTTCTTATAGGACCAAGAGATGCTTTCAATATGTCCTTTGGCTTGACCTTGGTTGCCCAGAATGATCAGGTCCTGGTAGGTATATAAATACATACTGCTTCCAAACTGTGAAATGAACTAATGTATATCATTCCAACACCAAATTATTTATTTAATAGTACAGAACACAGGAGAGAAGCTCCTAGTGTCCTTCTTTCCATTTCTGCTACCGTCATGGACATTAAAGGATTAAAGCTGGAATAACCAAAGATTATTCCCTGTGGGATTGTGCATAGTAATAACACTTATATACTGCTCCATAGTGCTTTACAGCCCTTTCTAAGTGATTTGTAGAGTTAGCATATTGCTCCCAACAATCTGGATTCTCATTTCACTGACTTCGGAAGAATGGAAGGCTGACTCAACCTGGAGTTGATTAGGATAGAACTGCTGGCAGTTGGTAAAATTAAACTGCAATACTGCATTCTAATCACTGCACCATCATGGCTCCTCGATATAATACATGGTAATTATACCATAGCATTTTTCCAATACTTTCTTCCCTTCTGTCATGTTCTCACCATACCCTAAATAATAATAGTTTCCAAAGTCTCTGAAAAGGTCCCCAAAAATACAACCTACCCCAAAAATAAACCCTAGCCCGGTTTTCATGCCTGCGCCTAATATAAGCACTACTCCAAAAACAAGTCCTAGTTAAGCCCTGCCCACTCCTCTCCCACCATCTGGTTGTATGTGGTAGGGTGAGGTGCATGCATAAAAATTAAACTAGGATGCAGGTGGGGGGCAGCCCTCCATGCCCTGAGCCTGCTTACCTTATCACAGGCATGCCTCCCATGGTCTGACACCTATTGCGCCACTGCCCAATTTCTCCTGTGGCCACGTAACACAGATGCCATGTGGCGCATCATGCCGGTGCTGCTGCTTGCAGCAAGAGGCCATGTGATGCATTGTGCCACTGGCGCAGCTTGCACACACAATGGCACCACACAGCCTCCTGCTGTGAGCAGTGGCACGGTGCAACAAACCACGTGGCATCTGGCCGTGAGTGGTTGTAAGCAGCCACAAAACAAGTCAGCCAACAACCTGACAGGTGTTTGGGCGTGGGAGGCCTGGCTGCCAAATAACTATTTTGTTTAGGTTTGCTGGTATTTAAAAATCAACCCATATTTTTGCTAGCTAGACAACATACTATATGTGTTTGCTTTGCTCTGTAAATAAGGCTGACTGAGAGTTTGCTGGGGATAAACTAACCTGGAAATTACCGTAATTTGCAAAGATTGTTAAGATATTTTCAGTGAAGCTTTTTAAATTGGATGAAGTAGGAAGATTTTAACTACTGTTTTATATTATTCAAGGGGAGGAGAAATGTTCAATTCTTAAACGGGAGGGAGGGAGGGAGGGAGGAAAGAAGGAAGGAAGGAAGGAAGGATAATAATATTGTCACTGGGCCCTGAAAGATAAATATTATCAAGACAGCTAACAAAAGAGGCAGTGATGGCTTTTAAATCTTACCTAAAAGCAAACCACCAGCTAAATTCTTTTACCCAGCACCCTCAAATTTCAAAATCCACAGCTGTGAAAACTTATTGCCCCTTATAGAAAATATTCCACCAATAGGCCTCCCACAGTGAAAACGTCTCCCCCCCACCCTTATTTCCCCCCAGAAGTGTTGTGTTTTAAACCCAGGTCAAGAATAATAAAATTCTAGCCAGGAATATATGTATGTACAGTATTATTTTTAAGTTGCCTTTTGGCAATGAAAGGGATGTTAATATGGCATATCATTAAATAAGCCTCAAAAAAGCCCTAAAAGTTTATTCATAATGCCAAAATAAGAGGCAAAGACATAATTTAAAAAACAGGATGCAGAGCTAAAATTAGAATTAATGTACTTTCTCAGATAATGAATGAAGGGGCTGACAGGGTGTTTTGCTGACTTCTACTTTGCCTGTAACATGGCGTCAGACACAAAGGCATTGCCCAAGTGAGTTTTTGCTGTAGGCTAAACTGTGAAGACCTCACATCCTGGAAGAAGACTTGTGTTGTTACCAAGATAACAAGTTTGCCAGGAAGGGATCAAGCTCAACTTGGGAACATCTTTACTCTTTTCTCTCTCTTCCTCCCTCCCTCCCTCTCTTTCCCTTCTCTCTTTCTCTCTCCCCTCTCCCTTCTCTCCTTCCTTCCCCTTGCTCTCTTGTTCTCGTACCCCCTCTCTCCCTTTCTGCTTCCTTCCACTCCTTTTTCCTCTTTCTCTTCCTCCTTCCCTCCCTCCTTCCTCTCCCCTCCCCTCCCCTTTCTCCCTCTTCCTCCCTCCCCTCCCCTCCATCTCCATCTTTCTCCCTCCCTCCCCTTCCCCCTTCCACTCCCTTCTTCACTACTCTGTTGCCAATTTTATTTGTAAAAAGTATGGGGCTGACTGGAATCCTGGGTTCATAAGTGTCCCTGTTCTGCCATATCCACATTTCCCTCACATTTTTGCTCTAAGATATCAAAATGAACTTTAAGGAAATTTCAATATGTTCTTCCTTTCACCCCCTTGCCCATAGCCAGGAAGCGGCTGGTTCTCCCACTGTCAGAAAATCTCCCCACTTTATTTTGTACCTCAGCTGGTTTTCCATATGCTGTTGGGATCCCACCTGTCTTCTTTGCCAAGACGGAACGAGACCAGTCATGTAACCAGGGTGGATGAATACTGCACTGACATCCATGATACCACCTCACTGATGGAGGGGGGAATTTTAAACTGGCCAGATGTGCCTCGATTTGGAATATTAGAACAGGACAGAAAATAACTGTTTCACTTTATAGTTGTTAAATTTCTATTGCCAAAGTGAAACTGAGATTGCATGAAATGACAAAATGACCAAACTAGCTTTGGGAAGGGAAACAGGTTTCTGCTTTCTATTTGGCCACAAGCAGCAAAATTCCTCTGTTTGCCCTAAAGAGCCAAGTATGGAGAATACAGTTTCCACCTGGTCTTTACTAGTTTCCATCTCTGTTTATTTAAGGTCTGTGGCCCCACGGTGCATCGGGCCTGTGGGGAAAATACATATGTAAATGGTTACTGCTTTCTGTTGGACCAAAATCTGCAAGAAAAGGAACATTTTCCAGAATCATTGCCAGGTAAGATTTGGAGAAAAGGAGTTGGGAGGGAGGGAAGGAGGAAGGAAGGAAATAGGAAAGGAAGGAGAGAGGGAAGGAGGAAAGAGGAAGGAGGGAGATTAATGAGGGAAGGAAGGAAGAAAGGGAGACAGGAATAAGAAGAAGGAAAAAGGAAGGAAGGAGAAAGGAAGAGAGCAATGGAAGAGGAGATAGATAGAAAAGGAAGGGAGGGAATAAGGACATGCTAAATATGGCTAAATATGGACTTGGATTCTACCTGGGGCATAGCAGCCAAAATGTTCCAAAGTAAATCAGTAGTGATTTTATAGTTAGTAGGTAATTTAAGTCTGTTCTTTCCTTTTCTTACTAAAAAGTGTTAAGTGAAAGCAACATCATGGTAGGTAGTGGAGGTTGCTTGATGGGTCCTTTAAATATATGCCTGCCCCTCCCTCCATATATCTACCACCAGAGTGCACCCACCATCCAACTGACATTGCCTTCCTGATTGATGGCTCTTCCAGCATCTCGGAAGAAGACTTTGAAAAGATGAAGCGATTTGTTTCTGAAGTCATCAAGAATCTCTCTGGCAGAGATACATTGGTAAGGGCCATGGAGAGAGGGCTAAATTCTCCACTGATCTGGGCCAAGTCACATCCTGGTCCAATGCTATTCAAGCATTACTACTTGTTCCTATCATTTGCAATGGTTGCTAACAACATTTTCTGTTGTAAAAAGCCATCGCAATAGCACTTAGACTTATATACCACTTCACAATGCTTTGCAGCACTCTCTCAGCGATTTTACAGAGTCCACCTACTGCATCCAACAATCTGGGTCCTCATTTTATTAACCTCGGAAGGATGAAGGCTGAGTCATCCTCAATCTTGAGTCCATCAGGATCAAACTACTGGCTGTGGGCAGAGTCAGCCTGCAATACTGCATTCTAACCACTGTGCCACCACAGCTCTTTTATTCTAATAAATACTGTGAAACTGGTGGCACAGAGGTTAGAATATTGCAGGCTAATCTTGCCAACTGCCAGCAGTTCGATTCTGACCGGCTCTAAGTTGACTCAGCCTTCCAATCTTCCGAGGTCAGTAAAATGAGGACCCAGATTGTTGGGGGCAATATGCTGACTCTATAAACTGCTTAGAAAGGGCTGTAAAGCTCTGTGAAGCAGCACATAAGTCTAAGTGCTATTGCTATTGCTAAACTAAAGGGTTAGGGTAAAACGGTGGACTGAATTTGATCCTCCTCTTTGGAATATTTGCATCACAACATTCCATCCACCCTCCTGCCCCTTTTGACTCTCTCTCCTCCAGATTTCCTGCTTCCGCAGAATATTAGTCTTCTGTTAAGGATTGCTCAATTGTTTGATCCACACAGAAGCAGGAGAACATCTGTGCAGTGGCTGGAGCGTATGTTTTGCGTGAAAAATATTGCAGGTCCGTTTTCCAGGAAATAAAAAGTCAAATGGCACATGGCCGAAAGGATCCATGAAGGAAGGTTGAAAAAAATAAATAAAGATGGGGGTCATGACAAAACAATTCAAAACCTGTCCGTTTTATAAGTGTCGTGCATAAGCAAATATGTTCAAAAGAGATTAAACTTTGTATATGCTGCAGCTGCCATCCTAACTTTTATGAACCCAGATCAGTGGTGGGATTCAATTTTTTTTACCACCAGTTCTGTGGGCGTGGCTTAATGGGCGTGGCAGGGGAAGGATACTGTAAAATCTCCAGTCAGAGGTGGAATTTGGCAGTTCTCCAAACTACTCAAAATTTCTGCTACTGGTTCTCCAGAACTGGTCAGAACCTGCTGAATACCATCTCTGACCCAGATCCTATCCCTACTCTGTCAACACAGACCCTATGTAATTGTGAGATCCTGCAGAGTGACTTAGAAGTCAAAATAGAAACAGTAGATGGGCCAATATTATTTCCCAGCAAGGCTACATCCTTTCTTCTTAGATGAGATTACAGTATTCTGCTTATATAGAAGTTCTTCATAATGCATATACATCCGTTAAGAAGCAATAATTGTCTGGATGGATGGTCCCTGGCAGAATACGGATTGAATTGCTGGCTAAGTCACAGAAAACTGTTAAGTGTGGTGAGCAGATAGAAGATAAATTGTATAATAGATATTTTTATTCGCAATCAGTGTTGACATATTCCTTAAACAAGGGCTTGGTGGAGTTGTCTTTCAGCAGTGATGTTCCGGGCTGGGTGCATTGAAAGTAAAGGACATTCCAAGTGCTGGTTTGAGTAAGTAAAGGAAGGATCAGGGGTGACATGATAGCAGTCTTCCAATATCTCAAGGGCTGCCCACAAAGAAGAAGGAGTCAAGCTATTCTTCAAAGCACCTGAGGGCAGGACAAGAAGCAACCTGGATGGAAACTAATCAAGGAGAGAAGCAACCTAGAACTACGGAGAAATTTCCTGACAGTTAGAACAATTAGTCCATGGAATGACTTGCCTTCAGGAGTTGTGGGTGCTCCAGGACCAACACTGGAGGTTTTTAGAAAGGAATTGGGCAACCATTTGTCAGAAATGATATAGGACTTCTTGCCTGAGCAGGGGATTGGACTAGAAGATCTCCAAGGTATCTTCCAACTCTGTTATTCTGTAAAGCAGGGGTGTCAAGCATCAGGCTTGTGTTTGACCTCAGGGGGCCAGAGTGGGCGTGGCCAACTCGACATCACTTGTGTCAGGGGTGCCTGTGGCGGCCTGAGCATTTTGCCAGCGAAAAACGGGCTCCCAAGCTCCGTTTTCAGCTGCGACAGCCTCCTGAAACCCTCTGCCAGTGAAAATGGAGCTCAGGAGGGCCGCATGCAGCCCCCCAGAGCTCTGTTTCCACTAGCAGAGGCATCACGGGCCAGTCCTTTGCTGTTTCCAGGCGGCCCCGCAGGCCAGATCTAAGCATCCCGTGGGCTGGATCTGGTTCCCAGGCCTTGAGTTTGTCACCCCTGCTGTAAAGTGCGACAAGGGCCTACTAAACCCTTCTGGGTATTGCTCAGGTAGTGGTTGTCTTTGCTATTCTGGGAAGCAGTGGGAAAAATTTGATATCTTTATATCATTTATAATACGAGGAGGCAAATGGCCCAGCGGTTTAATAATGCTGAGCTTGTCAGCTGGACAGCTGACAGCCAAGTTCGAAACCTGAGTGTTGTGTAATGGGATGAGCTCTCATTCCTTGCTCAGCTCCAGCTCCAGCCCATTAGTAGTTTGAAAGCATGTGAGTAGATAGATAGGTACCACTTTGGTGGGAAGGTTACAGTGTTCCACGCATCCTGGGGCGTAGGCATGCTGGCCATGACCATGGAAGTGTCTTTGGATAACTCTCCCTTGGCTAAGAAACAGAGATGAGAAGTGGACACAGCTGGACAGGGAAAACATTTACCTTTATAATGAAAATGGCAGGGCTTCAGTCAGGTTTAAGGTGACATTTATTCATAATCATTGTGAAATGTTATTTTATCTTGTTTTTTAAAAGCCTTAGATGATAGGTCTTTTAGAACAGCAAGTAGTGCAGTACTGAATTGACCCAGTCAATATAATTTCCTTTAAGCATCGAGAAGGGATAAGAATTCTTTTTCAAAGGATCCTCTTATGCTTCCATTTATATCTAAATTTGGAGAAGATGACTAAATTTGTTTGTGACCTGGGTAGACCAGCCATAGTCAAAAGAAAAGTGCTCCAAAACAATACGTTTTCATACCACCATGCAGGCAAAACACAACATAATAACCATGTGCTTCTTTTCTTGCACCAGTTTGCTCTCATGCAGTTTTCAGGGAACTTCAGGGAACATTTTAATTTCAACAGTAAAGACTCTGCACAACTTGTAATGAAAGTGAAGCAGCTGTATGGATGGACCAAAACAGCTACAGGCATCCGCAAAGTTGTGTATGTCCTGCTCCTTCCACTTCTTCTTCTTCTTCTTCTTCTTCTTCTTCTTCTTCTTCTTCTTCT